GGCGCTTGTCACGGAGGTAAATCTACAATACTAAAGGCACTAATGTGGACTGTTTGATTTGAACCCGCATCACCCCCTGTGTAGTCAGAGACGTTACCGCTAAACTATTCTGGCTCACGGTCGATAACCTGTGGTGATATAGCTCAAAATTATCCTCAGCTGTACAGAAGTACTTATTATCTTTAGTCATTAACACCCATGAAAATCCTCATGATTCTTCATGTACTTATTCTTTCTCCCATACACTTCCACTCATTATAGTTCCTTCAAATTTTCTTAACCTTGGTATACTGTGTGATGTGTGGCAGCTTGAACTTATTCACTTATGTACAAATTTCTATATTAAAAACTCAGGCAGTCCTAAGCGGCTAAAATGGTAATACTGACCGGTCAGTCAGGAGTAACCAGTATCATATGTTTGGCCCTTAGCGGCGATGACTAAATCTTCCAAGAGAAGGAAAATTGACTCAGAAGCATTCACGAAGTATGATAGCAATTCCCAATCAAATACTTATCTGCTCCTTGTATTAAATATGCAGTGCATCAGTAGTGTGCAAAGTCAGCAGGTTTAAAAATGTTGATAAAAGGATGGATAATATTTACAGTTTGTGTAGGCTATAAGATAATCTGTATTCGGAAAACATCTTATGAAAAACTATAATCTATTTATCACTTTTCTTAGAAAGCCTTACTGTTCTAACAACTTTTTCTGATAATCGATTCGATATCTAGTGTAGATGAATAGCTAACTTAATTCAAACAAATTATGTAAATAGTTAACCACACCTATTAAGTGAGAGTGAATCATGTTACCATGCCCAACCATACTCATTAAGGTAGAATGAGTTTTCGAGCTTATATTCCACCAGTCGATAGTTGAATGCATCACTTGATGTACCACAGACCCAATATGCCTGAAGGTCATTTATTACAATATGTCAACTTAATTCAAATGTCACAAGATAAGAGATTAGATGTAGCCACGTGTAACCATCTGGCTTTACTCTTTGTAAGAAAATATGAATTAATTAGGATACGTCAACAAACCAATGGGAAGCATCACTTATAAAAGTTCAGTGACACTTATGTAAGAGTACATAAAGCAAATTCAGAAATATTGATAAATGGACAGGCGTTTGACTTAGACACAAGATTTCCAAAATAACCTAAATATAACCCTAGGAATTATCCAATCTCCAAAAGACCTTTAAAAAATTATCAACACTTATAACTCAACCGCCTAGTTGCATCTAATTAAACAAGGTTCAGACATTATCCAGGCGTTTGTACTAGGATTTAGCATGTCAAAAGAGATCCAATATCTCAGTCCAATCAATCAACGAAGAAATCAGAATTGGCTCAAAACAAATAATGATTGATGGTACTTGCCCGACTCAAGTGGTCTAGTGGAAAGCGCTTCGCAGTTGGAAATGGTAGGTACAGGGTCTGAATCCCAGTGGGAACACTAACACTCATTGGATATTTTAGGATCATCCAGATGAGAAGTCTCGAATAGGACGAAATGAGCCTCATGCATTCGATTGGATGTTACCATCCACCGAATTGCTTTAAACTCCATCATACCCTACTGATCACTACACAAGTTCTCTTCACCTCAACACTTATAAGATTACATGAAAGTTATAGAGTAAGTAGCTGATAGAAGATCTCCCTGAGTCCTATACTACAGACTTTTTTGGTGGTACTTTTGCACGCTCTTTCAGTTCAATGTTGTTTAAATATGAAATAATTGATTACCACTGAAATGATGGACAAATTAGGTAGTGTTCAAAGCACTTTGTTCGCATTTACCGTTTGTCTGAAATTCGATAGGCATAATGATGCAATGCAAAGGAATTAATGGATTACAGCATCCACACTTACACGCACACACACACAAAATATCTAGAAACAGATAAGTAAATTCTAGTATTTACGTCTACTACTTATTTGAAATAAAATTCCAGACTAAGTATAAACAATATGTTTCTATGTTGCTTAGCAACACAGAAACATTATCATTTGATCAGACTGAATTTTAGACAGGATCATCTTAATGATTGTAACTACCTTAGTAAAGTATACTTACTTCATTCTAGGTTGATTAATGATTAACTTCCTTGGCAAAAAAGGAGGAAGTGAAAACAATCAGTCAAATTAATCACCCATTGAACTGATGAAATAAGCGATCGAAATCTTCTTTCTTCTCAGCTAGACGTCTTATGATCTAATATGATAATGCTAACAGTGTATACATGTAAGTGTATTAGGTCATTTTTATCTCGTTTATCTGTGAATGGGACCATAGAGTTCCCACTATTCAGTCACTTGGAGTGGTGTACTTTGTTAGACAGCGGTTATTTGAATTATTTTGCTTTTTCATAATATGCGTAGAGTTTCTATAAAAACTCTTTAACAAACACAACTCTTAAATTAATTGATAGATGGTGACTAGCAGTGGATTCCAGGATGTGCATTTCGTCCTGTTTGGGACTCGTCATCTGAATGCACCTGCAAAATTGAATTCAGTGTTATTTACAGCAATTAGTAATAATAAAGTAAAGGGAGAGTTTGGAAATATTGTAGACTTGAGTGTGAATACAATTATCTATGTGGGTGAGTGTGTTAAGGAGTGACTGAGAGGCGCCGAGAAGTCAAGGCATGGGTACTAAACACTGAATACAAATCTTATCGTACTCATAACACACTTACTACCAGAAATAATAATCAGTCGGGTGACCTCAATGAAATACACCAAAGGGGTAAAATTTCGTTAGAAATGTGTCTTCCAAAGAAATATCCTGGGAAAATGAAGGATATTTTTACTTCAGTACCGGCCAGTTTTAGTGGTATGCAATAAGTATTATTACCTCTTCATTGTGGGCCTAAGGCAAGCAGATTGCCAACAGTTTTTATTGAAATGAATGTTTGCTTAGTGTACTACTTTGAGATAGCCAGGATAACGAAGGTATTTAAGTTCATGAGGCACATGACACGTGACCGATCGAGAACTTGACACAATAGCGTAGCAGTTCAAGTCACCGCACTCCATAAAACCCACAAAGGTAGAGAAATGAGGATAACGAAATTCATGAGGGATATATATACTATTGATAATTTAGTAATTTTAAAGTACTCTTTGACTAAATTAATCATCTCATGAGAGAAATGACTAATACGAATGAGCATTTCAACTAACCACTAATGATTAGTAGTCAAATCCAATGGTTTCCAGCCAATCATGCCGACTGCATGTATTGTGTAGCTGTTATACTCCTCTTCAATATATTCTTTATGTTGTTTAGTGCTGGCATAACCTACTCATCCCTTAGGTAGTCCTCATTCATATTCTTGTGTGAATAAAGCTTAGTACCCTAAGATTTGACAGAAAGAAAATTTATCATTAAGTCACTGACATGTACTAACTAGTGGAAGTGCGCCACCAGTGAACTGATTAGCACTCTAAAAGGTGAAATTTCACCTTAGTTTCCTTCATCCAAGTAGCTAGCCAGAAATTGGCTGGTTTGAACTGTTTCGGCTCTCTGGGTACGCTGCTGATGAACTCAGCCCCAAACGACCGAAATCGCCGTCCGTTGTTCAGATCACTTTGATCTGGTATAAGTATAAAACTTGAGCACTGTGGTAGAGTATAACTCCATAATGGATAAGACTTTATTTTGATAAATCACACAGTGTTGTACAGTTATATTAACTGATGGCGTTTCGAGCACAAACTATTGCTCATAATCATATCATATCATAATCTGGCTAGTAAGCACTAATGGTTGATGTGATTGGTATACAACTACTTATCTGAATCAGTCAGTAGTATATAGTTATTGTCATATTTAGACAATTATCAGGTGATGGATAATTCTGTAACTGATATCAATCTACTATGAAGACCAGGTTTGTGTGAGCCATCGGGCAGTCACTTTTATCTATCTATCTAAATAATTGGCACTGTGCATTTTACTCAAAGTCATTACCATTTGTATGAACTGGAAATGGATTACTATAATTCTAAATAGAAAAGATGCAAAAGTAGCCCACAAATTTAACCATGTAGATATTTATTTCCCCCAGTTAGAGGAAGAAGAACTTTATTTTATATTCTTTGTTTCTATCAAGCTTGATGGATGTCCTTTTGTTGAATGATTTCTACTTCTGGTAACACGAAAACTTAGCCACTGAATACTGGTTAGATTCAGTACTAGGTTTAACGGTTTTCTATCCAATACCCAATTTAGAAATAGCCAATTCAAATAGCGTAAAGCAACCTCCAATTCTCGAGGATGGAGAATACATACAACTACATATCTTAGAACGGTTTTATTTGGTTGACAGTAGATAGCATTGGAATCCACGGTGGGCGTCTCATGCTATTTGAGACTCGTCATATGCTGGCATTTGCTTTCCACATGAATGGTGATGCTTTCACTGAAATCTAGCGCAGGACATTAACATTAGCCTGTTGGCTACTGAGCTACGAGGACCGCCTTCTGTGCAACAGATGTTAATTGTCAAAAGAGACCAAGCATTTAGGTTCAGTAAAACGAATAAACGGGAAACTAAATTTGTTTTTCAATGTTTAAAGTTCACCTCGTTACTCTTACTGTACAGGCAAACAGTTCACCATTATAAACACTGAAGATATGTTAGTTTCTCGACTCAATAGAATTATCAATATTTAGTGACAGTTACTTGAAAAATCGGACGTAATCTGTATTCCTTTTCACTGCTTACAAGAATAGGTGAATTGAAGTAGGAAGGTAACTTTCATAACTAAGTTTTATCACTATTATTAGTAGTAGTATTCACAGGTGATGAGTCATTTGTCTCCTTAAACTCTTTAAGTCCAAATCAAACATCGTTATGCGAACTGTCCCCATCTTCATGAGTCAAACGGTATCTAATTAGGTTGTTGTTAAAATTAAATAACAAAAATCAATAAAACACACATAAAACTGATTTTTCACCACATGTAAAAGACTGCTCACCTCCAGGTGTTGGTGTACCAACTTCTTTTCTTAATGCATCTGTAGTTGCTATCGGGACAACTGAACAAAATGGAAAAGTCAAATCCATATCTAAGCGATAAACAACACCAGTTGATTCATTTGTACTACTACTATGACTAGCTTTCGGTGCTCCAACTAAACATGATGGTTGTGATTGTCCAATATAAGTTGCTATAGAATAGCCAAAATAACTTCCACGTGTTATATGTGCAAATCGTCTAGCTGAATCTGGTGGATATAATGATAACTCCTGCATATTTTGATTTTCTCTGTAGGACAATGATGCTGTCGTCGTCGACGTCGTAGTCATAGTAACAGTAATATAATTTATTATGATAAAAATAAGTATGTACATCAACTGAAAATTGATCATGTTTATTACATGGTAAAATGAAGACATTTTTTTAAGATAATTATTCTATAACTGATTTATTAAATCGATTGAAGTTACATGAAGTTTTTACAGATGATCGTGATGATGATGATGATGACGTGTAAAAGGGCATGTTACATCATAAGGCAAGATAAACAGAACCATCTCATGGGGAATGCTTTTTTCAGTCATTTTTTAAAGTAAAGCAAAGTGCCAGTTAACCATTTAACTTTATTATTCTCCTTTCCCCTTAGAGAATTGACCAGTATCTAATCTATTAACCAATCAGAATTGTTACACCTTTTCTATTCATGCAACCAATAATGTACATCACACAGTTAGCTCTGACCTTTGGTTAAATAAGAGGAGAAAAGATATAAACAAATATGCACGTGTAAAAACTATACACAGACGCACACACACATACACACATACACGCATATTTTGAAATACGCGAGTATCCAATATGTGTCAGCGTGTATGTGCGTATGTACATCTAGGTTAAGTGTGACGCATCATTTCCCATTTGTAATTATGTGTACCTTGATACATTTACGTGTATTCTACACATATTCCATATTTTGTTCGGCATTTGGAGAAAACAGCCTACACTGTTAACATATATTGAAGACCAGATTTCTAGAATATGAATCGGCTAGCAAAATATTACTATATTATTACTATTACTTTTCATAATTACACATAAATAAATATATATATTAAACGCTAACAGTAACTGGCTACAGTTTACTTGAATTTTCAATAACACACACATATAAAAATGAAAACAAAGAGATAGGCATCTGTGTGTTGAAAGCTCTGACTCCATATTATTAATAGTTGATGAGAAAATGTAGTTGGGCAACTAGTATGGTGGAGTTAACCAAATTTGTTATTTATGTCTGCATTACATCATGGACTAGTAAAAGCTTAGATTACTGAAAACCTGGTTGGAGGCTTCACCTTGTAATTTAGTTAGGAAAACGCTAGTCTATTTATCCCCCGAGCAGACGTTCAAGTCTTATAGCAACTAGAGTTTTTAAACAACGTTTAATCTCTACTTAATAAGTCCAAATTTATGTATTTTTCATTTCTGTAGTAGTGTTAAAAATATATGATGACTGCGGAATTAGTGCCAGCGACAAAGTTCACTTTATGCTGATGTTGGCGATAGCTCAGCTGTTAAAGCTTTTAAAAGTATCAAATAAAAACTAACATTACTGAGATAAATAAATAATCAATCACGACAATAGTTGGATGGTGACTAGCAGTGGAATCCAGGATATGCACTTCGTCCTATTTTGGACTCGTCATCTGGATGTACCTGCAAAATTGAATTAAACAACTCTTAAATATATTTCCTTTCGCCAAAAATATGCACAATAGGCATGATTGTGGATTTTTTCTTAGATTCAGTGTTATAATTATTTACAGCAAAAAATAACAGGAAAGTAAGGGGAGAGTTTGAAAATATTGTAGACTTGAGTGTGAATATAATCATCTGGACGTATCTGCATTCCCAAGTGAGTGAAAGTGTTCCCGGCCGAAGCTCGAACCCGGTTCCCATAGTTTCAAACACCAAGGCATTACCCATTACACCACTTGGGCCACGAGAACCACCCCTTGTGCAACGTGTCTTAATAATTACTTAATTATTTAATATGCTTCGGCGTTTGAAACTATGGGCACTGGGTTCCAGCACTGGGGAATGCAGGTATATCCAGATGACGAGTTCCAAACAGGACGAAATGCGAGTCCTGGATTTCACTGCTACTAATTATCCACCAACTGACTTCAAGTTACAGGAACAGACATCGTGTAAACATCAGAATAAGGAGCCGACATATCAACTTGAGACCGATCACTTCGATCCAATCAATCGACAGGGAAATCTAAAATGAATTAAATCACGACAAAGGTTGTCAGAAGATACAATTATATCATTCATGGAGAATTCAAACAATTTCTCTTTATAATGAAGTGTGCACCGAAGATGTTGTCTAGAAGGACAACGAAAGCTTCCCAATCAAACCATCCAGCTCAGAGAACTCAACCACATCATCAAAATGACCTAATAGGTCATGGGTTCTTAGTAAGATGCTTAGCAGAGAGCACTTTCACCGAGCACTCATTATGCCCAAAAATTAAATCGCTTTGTAGAAATTATTATCATAAATGATACTTTATTTAAAATGTTAACTGACATCAAGTTACGAACTCTTAAGTAGTCTTCATTATCGACTATACACCATATTCACTAATCTTTTCCTCACAAAGCTGAAGGTTATTTAATGGCTTATTGGTTATTTTATTCGAAATGGAATTTTTTAAAGATTTTCTATGAGTAAATGTCAGTTGTGAAGATGAAACAATAAGTAGTGAGAATATGCATTTATTATCGGCATTTAACAATGCATGCGAAGTATTTCTTGATTAGTGAACTCCAGCTTATTTAGTTTACCGAATTATACATTTTTTTCACAAACTGATAAGTGTAAGTTGGTTGCTTCATGAGATTGTAGGAGCACACTGTCAGTGAACTTTGCGACATGTATTATATATCATTTTTAATTTTATTCATTTATTTTTATTTATTATTCCCTTGAGTTCCGAGTGGAACATAGAGCTTCAACAATACATCTCCACTTTCTTCCATTTTCTGCTGTCCTCTTCATCTAGGCTCAAGATTGCCCATTATCTCTCATCTCCTCCTTGCCACACGATCTCTTCCATACCACCTTCGAACTAGCGCTCAACTCATCGTTTCTCATTTCGATTCCATTTGAGGGCCTGAGGCGCAATGTCGTTTGACGATGTCTTCAGAGTATACCCTATCCATCTTCGTTTTCTCCTATATACATGTTGACCAATCGGCTCTTAGTTGGTCTGTTCCCAGGCAGAGTTTCTTCTTGATAATTCTTCATGGCCGGCCATTTGATCTTCAATAAAGAACGTAGGTAGCTGCTGATAAAAGTTTGAAACCTGTTGGAAATGCTTTTACTGATACACAGTACAAGTTTCTGAACCATATGGAAGAATTGACCGACTTCATATTGAAGTTGAAGATCCGAATCTTTTTCTTTATGCTGATCGAGTGACAGCAGAAGATTACCAAACCAGTTTCAGATTGATCAAAACGTATCTCTCCTTTCCGATTCTGGCTGACTGGCTTTCACATCCTTATCCGTTCCGACTGCCTGTGGTTGAAACCATGCTTCCTTGGCCAGATAGGTGAAGGAAGTAACCTCTGTTAAATCTCTCTCGTTGCTGGTGATTGGTACTGGTTGTTATTGCTGTTGCTATTGGTTAGTTGTCTTCATCACCTCTGTCTTCTCTATGTTCACTCAGAGTCCTGTCTTTGCTGCCTGCTTCTTCGGCAACTTTGTTGGTTTTCACCTGTAAGTCTTCGAGTTTATTATTATTATTGTTTCCTTTAATTCCTAGAGGAACATAGGGCTTCAGCCGTACGTCTCCATTGCGTTCGGTTCTCTGCTAGAGTCTTCACCTGGCTCCATGTCTGACCACACGTTTTCATCTCCTCTTCACATGACCTCCTCCAAGTCACCCTTGCACTGACGACCAACTCGCCGCTTCCCTTTCGAGTTCCACTCGAGCAATGGCTTGTCTAGTGATGTCACTTGATGGTTTCCTCAGAGTATGACCAATCCATCTCCATTTCTTCCTGCCTATTTGTTTCACAATCGGTTCCTGCTGTGTTGGTTCGCTCCCAGAGATCTCTGTTGCTGATCTTTTCTGGCCGGCCATCTGATCTTGAGTGGTGTTGAGCGAAGACAACTGTTAATGAAGATTTGTAGTTTGTTTGAGATGCTCTATATGACGTGCAGTGCAAGTCTCTGATCCGTATAAATGTTATCGGGACATCCATCTTTAATACAGTTAATTGGTGTTGTTGTAATATTATCAGTTTGAAAATGAAGATGAAAAGTTTTCATCTCTGTCTTCATCAGTGTTAATCCAAGTAACATGGATACTGGCCTCGAATTAGAAACTAACAGCTGCGTAGAAGTTGTCATAGCCAACCTTACTAATATTCATGTAAAGTTAACAGGCTGTACATTGCCCAACAAATATCCTGAAGAAAATGGCAATAGATAGAACATTCCCTGAGGAAACCATTGAATGACATCATGTGTCAGGCCCTCGACTGGAACCCGAATGGAAAATAGCGAGTTGGGTGTCGGAATGTGACATGGAGGAGATTTTGTGAGAACATGTGTTGTTGAAGCCCTATGTTTCACTCGGAACCCAAGGGATTAACACTAATAATATTAGAATGACGCATAAAAAAATATTTGGGTTGTTTTCAGAAAAAATTTTTTTTCTGTAATAACAATATTTATCAGTAATCTCCACATTTCACAATGCACAATGAACAAAATCACAGTCAATGTTACTGTTCCTTTGCAAGTGAATGTTACAGAAATGGACACTCGAGGCAACCAGTAACTGTCAGGACTGAGTTAGTAATTCACTATCATCGTCACTCTAAGAAATCAGTTAGGTAACCATGCAAAACCTGAAATAACTGCACTGTGGTTTCGTCCTGTTTCGGGACTCTTCGACATGCCATGAACAGCCCGTTGAAGATTCATCTACTCAGCTGCAATCCAAATGACCTATGATTTCTGATTCACCAACTAAGCATAGTACGGCAAGTACGCACTGCTCCCTTCACAAATTCAACTGTCTGCGAGGTTTCTTCTTTTCTTCTCCATAAGTTGAAGTAGAAGAATGTATCACAGAAGATGAAATAATCTTAACCTCAACCAGAATCATGGAATTCCTTTTATTTTACACAAAATACTTGAAAATATCATCATGAAGCCCTAGAGACCTTTTAAATTATCAGTTTATAGATTAATGTGACTTAATCAAATGTTTAAAACAAAGTGACTTCGAGTAATTAGATGCATTACACTAGGTAAAAAAAAATTAGAAGCCCAATAATTTGAGTCCTTTTCTGAATATTCCCACACACTTATTAGTAAAGTTATAAGAAGGATATTTCATGATATATCAAGAATGACAAGATTTTCAGGACGCAAATGTTTAAGTCTAACTACAGTATTGAATAGAAGGGTATAATTAAGTCAAAAATTATTTTAAATAACAGTTTCGAAAGTGTTTACAAAAGAGAAGGCAAATCAAAAATAACTTAAATTGACTTGAATTAGGTAGTATCTTATGTACTTAGGAAGGTGTATTTACAAGTGTTTGAAGCAAGCTT